GCTGTTGGGGTACATAGCCGCTGTCCAGGTCTCAATGTTTTTCTAAACCATTCTAAAGCACGAAGCACACCAAATGAATCTCTGAGCATCCACAGATTGTTGAATCCAATATAGTATTCGGCTTCAGAAACTCTCCTTATGAGCACACCTGGGCCCCATCCCTTTGTGAAGGGCCTTCCGAGAATGAGCACACCGCCTTTTTGCATGCCAGTCCTCTAATCAGGCAGCCTTCCTCCGCTGTCAACGCATCAGGGACTGCAGAGCGTGGACTGCCTCGTCTGTGTCCCTGCTCGAAGTCCCCTCCCGCCAACTGTACATCTTGGTTATTCAGAGACTGCTTGCCTACCTGGGGACTCTGGCCTTGGGAGAAATGTCTCTGCTTCTTATCTCAGTGTCACAGGATGGACATTTCCAGGCCCCTAGTCTCCCCTTCCCCTTCTGATCAGCCCTTGAGAACATGCACTCAAAGCAGCCATCTTTCTCATTCCCACTGATTTTCTGGGATGGAATGGAAAACTGGGATGGAAAGGAGGAATGGAATGGCCTGTTTTGGAAGAGCTGGCTGGCCGTCTAGCCAGAATGCTGACCTGCAGAACAGTGAGCTTGTAATAATACAATAACGTTGGGCTCTCACTCCTCCTTCTCTGGATTGTGAATATTTATGAAACGCAATTTCAGAAATATTTACTGGTTTGTTTATGCAGTACTGTCAGTTCTTCTGATGCTGTTTCTTCCTTTTTGGATGCCAAATCTCATGTTCTTGTCCATGCAGGAAAGAGGGATGAATGAGCTCAATGCTCCTCCCTTGACCATTGCAGAAACAAGTCACGCAGGGGATGCCAGTGATTTGAGTTTGCATGTTGGACAAGCCATTCTCTCTCTCGCTCGCTCGCTCGCTCGCTGTCTCTCTCTCTCTCTCTCACTGTTTGTGTGTGTGTTTAATCATTATGTTCTTATTGCATCATGTGGACCCAGTCGTGAAATACCACCATGTCTTGTTTCAGGCACAAAAACTGCAACAAGAAATGATAGTCCATTGTATAGTGTCTGCTTACATTTATTGTCCATCACAACATCCTTACCCAAGAGCTCCATCTTCCCATTCCCAGTGAAAAGACAACACAGAGTCCTGTGGAAAGAACAACAATGAAAGGGGCTGCACCTGACAGCCAATCTTTACTACCCATGACATTCTAGCAACACAGACTTTTTTCCTATTGGTTGAACTCAGTGCTCATCACCCTGTTTACTTTTTGAAACTGGGGAAAAGTGGGAAGAAAGGAGAAGGAGGGATTTGCAGCAAAACTTTATTTTGATGTAAAATAAGAGCCTTTGGGGACTGGATTGGCTAGGAAATGTTGAAGAGATGGAGGTACAATTAGGAGGACGAAGAAGCAGAACCCATTTCAAACCTCAGTGGACCAATCAGTAAGAGGCAGCTGAGGTCAATGGGAGACAATAGAGTAAAGAAAGGAATTTGGCGTGTGGTCCTTGCTGGCAAAAATGGGAGGATGCAGGAGGCAGAGCAGAAAGCAACAAAGAAAGCTGAGGTTTATAACTGTCAAGGAAAACATGCTAAGTTGCCACCAATCATAACAATCCTTTCTCCTTTCTCATTGTGATATGTGGACCTGTCCAGTGTCTCTGCCTTTTACCTCTTGCCTGCTTCAAATTGGGGATGTCCACTGGATTCAGCAGAGGCCTCAACCAATTCATCCGTTCAGACAATTTCTGGTCCTTTCCAAGGGTTTCCTGCAAAGTGATCAGAACTGGAACTGGACACTATGCAAGGATCCTTTTGTGGCTTTGGAGAGGCAGCCATTGTCAGAATCAGTGGTTTTTGCTTTCTTTCCCTCAGTCTGATGAAGCGGGGGGGGGCGAGGGGGCAAGCGGTTCTGGTGACTGACAAATCCATTTCTAGCACATTTGGTATGGACTCCCCAAACACTGTGCAGTGGAGGAGGGCAAGTATAATACCATGAGCGCGCCATTTCCCCAATACCACCAGGCATAATTATGTGAAACGTACCTTAGACTGTAGTATTTCAAGCTATCACATCAAATTCCATCTAGTTTCTCAAAAGACTAATACGTCATCAGCAGTTCTGAAAAACAAAACAAAACAAGTGTATTCCACAAAAACCAGAAAACATTTTTCTGGTATTTTGCAGCTGAGATAGATAAATAATCTTCCCTACATGACTGCTATGTGCGCATTTTCCAAATTTTGACTCAGGTTCACTACCTGAGTTGAAGGAGACTACCTCTGAATTTCTGAGCAGAATCAGCCCATTTTCTAAGTGGATGAATCAGGATCTACAGTAAGTCTAAGTCAACTTGTGATTGGTGCACATTTTGGGTTCAAATTATGGCTCCTTTTATTTATTTAATTATTTAAAACATTTCATGCCGCCCCATTATAAAGTAGTTGCCAGCCAAGGATCAGGAGCCTTGCAAAAGAGAATGTGCCCTGCTTATTTGGTACATCTAGGCTGCATTTAGTGTAGAAAATGTCACTCCTTGCAGCATAAAAATCTGATCTGTCTTTTCAGATGCATTGTGAGTATGTTATCAAGTTGACATTTTAGCCTAAGTAAAACACCAAGCTCAAAACACCGAAAAAATAGGATCTGGATACAAAAGGAATATAAAAGGATACTTACTAGAAGCCAACATATGGACTTAAATTTGAAAGTCTAATAAAAATGTCATTAGGATAGATTAAAGTGCAGCTCAAAACATTATAGTTAAGTGTGTTGTTCATCATATCTACCCTGTGAACTAGAACCATTTCAGCCAAATCCCAAACCAAATAAGGCTGCTTTGTAAAGAAGATGTCACCACCAAAGTGCCGTTCCTGCAGAGCAGACAAAACTAGATTCTGAACCTTTCCAAAGTTCTGATGGTCATTTGGATTTGGGGAGGACACAGAAGCCATTTTCAAGCATTATACGTCTGAATAAACACTTGAGGAGGAGGACTGTGCTAGCCCATCCCTCCTTGTGCTTTTTTAATCACCTTTTATTCATGAAGTTCAACTTTTCAAAGAGGACAGTCTTCTGTATCCATGGTCTTTCTTCTGTGGAGTCAAGAAGATGCAGGTGGCTCTTCTCTACAGGATATCACTCTCCACAAGTGGGGCCAGAGCCTAGCATTTTATGTCATTGCAGTCCATGGCATCTTGAATAGGGCTAATGACTCAGGATGTGTCTGCAAAAATATATACATTTTTATGCAAGTGTTCTATATACCAAAATAGGGCAGAGAGGGGGAAAAAAGGGAAAAAGTGGGGCAGGGGAGGAAAGAACAGAAAAGGAAAAAGCCAGGGTGAGCGGTTGTGGTGAAAGAGTGGTAACTGACAGTTCTAGTATCTAATAACACTTATTTTATTTTCCTGTGTTCTCTAATCCTGGGAGGGACATCGAAGTAATATATTACAGGGCTGTTCTAACGCTTGGTGCTGGTTGCTGGTTCTTTCTACCAGGAGGAGGAATGTTAAAAGAGATTTAGAAGAGTCCTTGAGAATGGGGCAGTGGTGGCATCTGCTGCTTGCAAGAAAAATCCTGGATGTTCAGATCTATCTGTCTCTGCCACTGGACCCTTTACATTTGTCATCTAATCCTGCCCAATTGCACTTTTGTTGCCAACTGAGCGGAAAACACAGAAGCCCAAAGTGTTTTATTCATCCTCTCTCCATGACTGCTGAGCCTAGCCTTCTGAAAGTTTACAGGCTTCCTTTCCAGAGTAACCTCTGGGGTGGCTATTTGCATGCAAATTTCCCACCAATGAAAGTGCATGTGTGGTGATGGTGAGAAATCACTTCACTCCTCCAAAATTTGAAGAATTCCCTTCCATCGAAACCACTGTACCTCACCTTGTGTGAGTAGTGACATTTTCTGCTTGTGCAAAGGCACCATTGAATTCAACTCACCAAATGTAGTAATCCAGCATGATAGTATCAGTCCTCAGAAGTAAAGAAGACTTTACGTTCAATATATCAATAGAAGCAAGTTTTACTAATGTAATTGCAGCCATTTTCCCCTCCTTAGTTTCATCGGGACTGCCGCACATGAGGAGATAATTTTTAACCTTTTTCTCTTTAACCCTGATACTAACAAAATGCCCTACTGGGTTTTTTCCCCTAAGGCTAATAATCAAATCCAGGTGTTGGTCAAGTAGGGAGGGCAACTTGCATTTAGGTTGTGGCTAAGGAGGGAAGACTCGATTCCCTGAAAGCTGCATACTAGTCCAGTTTGGCCCTCAGTGGTGAGAGTACAAAGCACCTATTCTCCTGAGCTAATGGTGTAAATTGTTGCTAGTTGCGAAGTCGTGCCCGACCCTTCACGACCCCATGGACAACACTCCTCCAGGCCTTCCTGTCCTCCACCATCCCCCAGAGTCCACCTAAGCTCACACCGACTGCTTCAGTGACTCCATCCAGCCACCTCATCCTTTGCTGTCCCCTTCTTTTGCCATCAAAATGGTGTAAATGCATATAAGCTATGATGAACTTAATAAACTATGATGGACTTAATGAACATGTGGTGGCAGCCTTGATATTGACATAAACCATGAAAAAAGTTTGAGCTAGATTGTATTTTTGGGACTGCTCTTTCATAATGTTGGTGGCTTCAGAGCTATCCATTTATATTCAAGGCAGCATAAGCTTCTTTTGTTGGATGCATAGCCATAATTATGGAACAAATACCTCCTTCCTTCTGTCTCTTTCTTTTCTACCTTGTTAGAAACTTTATTCTGATAAATTCAACATGTGGCTCTGTTGTGACTATTCTTGTTTGTTTATTCTTAACTTGAGATAATAGATCACAGTTTGGAGTGTTTTTGAACAGCTATCATCATAATTAGCAAATATGGCATGTAGCAATTGCTTAGCATATGAACAGAACTGTGATTGCCTTTTGAAAAGCTTTGTTGTTCTTTCATAGCACAAAACAGGTCTCTCAAATGGGTAACATGACACACAATTGTTTTTGTTTCAGGTACTATCCTGGTAGACAGCATGCTGATCAAAGGTACAGCGGGAGGACCTGATCCCACCATAGAACTAACATTGAAGGACAACGTAGACTATTGGGTTATCTTAGATCCAATCAATCAGAGACTTTATCTAAATAGTACCGGACGTATTCTGGACAGAGATGTAAGTTGGTTTCCTCAATATTTCTTTTGTATCAAGTTATTTCTTTTGTATTGGTCACCTCAATATTTCTTTTGTATCAAGTTTTAAATGTCAATAGATAATAAGTATACACATGACTAATTGAAAAAAGAAAGCTGCAATTAGAAGAATGTTTGTTTACACAAAATCCCTTATACAAAACTCAGCTAAGTGAGTTTAAGTTGCAGCATAAGGATCACTGTCAAAACCTGAAAAAGAAAAGGGCTACTAGCATGCCTTATAGTCTTTCAGTATAGTACTTGTAATAATTACAGATCTTGTTTAGAACAAGGATTTTAGAATGAACATATATTGGTATGCATTTGGCTATTCAGACTGATATAAGTTGCGTAGATCTTCTGTTTTTTCATCTGTAACTGAGTTTGAAATGTTAAGTGAATAGCAGTTTTTTTATTTCCATTTTGTTATGTTTAATAACAATGTGTTATTACATTGTTATTAATGTAACAAGAATGGGCTTAATAATATTGTTATTAATGTAACAAGAAATAATATTGTCATTAATGTAACAGTAACAAGAAAGACCACCATCGAAAAGTGAGACCATGTAAGCCTGAAGTGGCTGTACTTGAGACACGGAGGACTGTCAGTGGTTAACCACCTGCACAATTGTTTTCCTACAATTCAGTTCTGCACATCCTACGAACCCCAAGCTGAACGTAGCCTATTGTTTAATAAATCTGGTTTTGCTCTGTGCTGGGGGCTGCAAAAACAGGGGAACAAGGCCAAATTTGCCAGTCGGCTGTGTGTGCCTTGCCCTAGATAGAATAAAATGTCCTCAGTGTAAATGGGTCAATTATGTTTGACTTCAGTGGGAGACTGATCAAAATGTGTTTCATTAGCTAACCATCATGTAGAACCATTGTAATTCAGCTTGCCTGTTTGTGGCAGGTTTCTGCGAATGCCTGTAATATAAATTTTTTTTAGCTATATTGGGATTACAAATGCAAATTGTGTGAATATATCTTCAGAGCTATGTAAATTAAGGATGATGCCAAAGTTCAGAAATACCTGCTCAGGAATATAAATTGGTCCAAGACATAATTCATGCTTCAGTTACGAGGCAAGCTCGATTTTGCAAAGGGGGATTGCTCTCCAAACTGGTGAACCTTCTTCCCCACCCTTGTAACTGGGAGGCTGTCGTGGCAACATTTGGCTGTCAGTGGGGCTTGGAGGATTTGCCCTGGGGACTCCTGCCAATAGGATTGGAAGGATACAAGGAGAGGGAAAACTGTGCTCATTGTTTTTCTAAAGGATTAAACAATCTGGGCAGGAGACCCATTTCTGTGTGCTCCAAGGATACATTAGATCAGTGGTGGCGAACCTATGGCACGCGTGCTGCAGCAGGCACGCAGAGCCCTCTCTGTCGGTACACGAGCCAAGTCACCGCAGCATCACCCAGCAGCCGAGCATCAGGTAACAGCACACATAGGGGCCATGCGCATGCGCGGAAAGGAGTAGTGGTGCCTGGTGATGACATCGTGAGCCACATCTCATTAGCCATGACTCGTCCGAGCTTTGGCCACTGCCAAGGAGATTTGCTTGAAAAACCTCAGTATTCAGGTTTTATTGCAGTGTTGGCACTTTGCGATAAACAAGTGGGTTTTGGGTTGCAGTTTGGGCACTCGGTCTCTAAAAGGTTCACCGTCACTGTGTTAGATCCTAGTTCTGCCTGCACGTGGCTGGTTCTCTTCTTTGGTGTCTGTCTTCCTGCTCTGCCTTGTGCATGGGGTGGGGAAGGGACTTAGTGTGGGCTTCCTAACTTTCTCTATTTGTCCTCCCCTCTCTTTTTCTCTTTGTCTAGTGGCAAGTCATGGTTCCCATGTACGGAAACTGCAAAGCAGAAAAAGAGAGAGTGCCATTCTTTCACTCCACCCTTGCCTCCGCCACCTCTGCCCCTTCTCTTTCAGGCCCTCTCTGTCTCCTCCGTTTTCCCCAGTCTTTGTTTCGTCCTTTCCTTCCCCTTCGTCCCTTGCCCAGAATAAGGGATGTAGAACTGTGTTTTTGTTCACAAAACCTGCAGCATGCCCTGTTGGATGCTCCAACTGCGACTGCAAGTGGGAGCACAGGCCCCCTTAAAATGTTTGGAAACTGCTGGACACACACCTGTGTTCAATTTGTCCAACTTTCTCAGTTTGCTTTTGTGCCTAATTTTGTACAAATGTCCCCTGTAAACTGGATTGGTCCACTTTCACTGATGGAGGAAAGTCGCACAGATTCAAACATCTGCACAGAATAAGGTGATAACAGCTCAGACAGCTGGTGGTGGTACTGTAGGATCTATGATACAAACATTTACCTCCTGTGTCTCACCATTGAGTCTAGCTAGGACGGGCTCTTGCAATGCTGCAAGCTTTACTTGGCAAAAGCCCAGGGTAATTCCTAGCTATACTACATACTATTATCATTATTTATTTATTTTTCTATAGCATGAAATAGCCAAAGCTCTCTGGGTGGTGTACAACAGTAGCTATACAACCAGCAATACTGCAACAGAGATAAGTGTGTCTATTGCTGACCTGACTTGTAGGGACATCGAGTTTCTTTCAGCCTGGGGCTGAATTCTATTTTAGGAAAGTTGTCTGGCTGGGTGGGCCAAACATATCAGCACTGTTTAGTTTAAAGCACTTACTACCAGTGACCAAGCCTTAAAAAGAAGCATTGCAACATTTTGGAGGAAAATGCACAACAGCTTAGAAACTGCTATAGAAATGGGGAAAGGGTCTGCAGGCCTCAGAGGAGCTCCATGAGGGAACTGTGGCCCCAGGCTGGTTGTATTTGGCCCCTGCACCTGGGATGCTGCCACCTGGCTTCGTTGAATAATTACTGCAACCTTTATAGGAGCCAGTGACACAACCCACTATTGCCAGGCGTTGGGCATGGGGTGGGAGAGAAGCAATCAGTCCAAACTTGCAACACAGGCTTCCCCACACATGCTTATTCTCCCACTCCATACATACAAATTCATTTGCCATGAAAGAAACCTTAATATGCTAATTTTGAAATTAGATTTCTGAAATTACAACAGAAACCATACTGGGGTTTTTATATCATGGCCACAATTACTCCGCTCCTTGTGATTTAACAACCAGCCTTGAAGAAGCAACTACAAAGTTTGCGGGCTGTTTTGTAATATTTGGTCGGTCCTACGAAATATATTTTCCTGCTAATGTTTTATTCTTTATTCTAATGGACTAATGTGACTGCAAACCTTTTAGGAATAGATTAGTTCACTTCAAAGCTTTATTTTTCTAGCCTTTTGCATTCTAAATGCATGAAATTTCTTCCACATACCATTTCTCTTGCAATTTCACACTCAATACTTAAAATAGGTGGCATGTACAATCCTACATGTGTTTAGACAGAAGGCAAGTTTCACAACTTTTAGCATTGCCCAGCCAACCTCGCTGGGAGTTGAAGCACCTTTTTTGGTCTAATAAAGGGGTGTTGTTGTTGCCTAATAAAATTGGGTCCATAACAATTTTTCCATGATATTAGAAAACTTCAGTTTTTATGAGGGCAAGCTCACAAAAACTTTCTTCAGCTTTTGCTGCAGTCATTGCTACACATGCTTCAATGAACATGAGTTGCAGTGGTTCTTGCTTGCATGTTCACTTTGTTATTGCCCCACTTAGATAACGTGTTCACTTTGTTATTTCCCCTCCGTGGTTCTCCTGCCCTGCATAGGATGGCCATACTGGGAGAATTATGGGCATCAGGACTGAACTGCGTCCTTTGGGAAGCCCCAAACCATCTGTCTCATACTATAGGTTCCAATTTAACTAGATTTAGTTCAGTTCAAAATTTATTGTACCAGAAAGACCATAACAAATACATTAAATGTATATGATAGAGAACAAAATGAAGAATTTCAAACAATAGAAAATAGATTAAAATATACTATGCACAGAAATTCTTCTTTAACTTAACTCTGACTCTCCAATTCTTTTTTCCTGACCTTTTTTTGCTGCCAAAGCAAACAAAGCAGTTTTATGCATCACATAACTATTAATATTACTTAAAAGAAAAAGAACTGTTTCTGCCAAGACATTCCTGTATCCATATGATAACAAGGGTTTCAGGAATCTCTCTCTGGGGTCAGTATATAGAAGACAGTTTAGCATGTAATGAATGATGCTTTCAACTTGATATAAACCTCAAATAATCTGCATTCAGAAGGCATCTTATATTGCCTATCCAAACTGTGGTTGGCATAACTTCAAATCACAACTCAAGGCATTTCTTAAAGAGGATAGTCTCAGACTATCCAAGACCAAAACAAAAAACCCAGATACCTATAATGTTCTGTTTTCCAAAGAGGAAACGCCTGACTTTAGAGTTTTTAATTAATTGAAGGTCCTTTCTAGAGTATATCCAAAATAACCAATCCTTAAATTGTGTCTTATCCAGAGTAAAAAGGGTATTCAAATCAGAAATACAGAGCACTGACTTTCAGATATACTTTTCATCCATTTCCAAATGGCACAAAGCTGGGAGACATTTGTTAGGGAGAAGGAGCAATTTGTTGAAGATACCACAATTGAGCACAGTCTATTCTTGTGCTGATTGATGGCCATTCTGTTTCTGTATGCCAAAAGGCTGCAAGAGTTGTGGGACAAAAACAGTTTACAAAAGAAGTTATTCTACCCTGTTTCCATAACATTTCTGGTAGCATTGTCAGTCCCTCAAATTTCAGCCCCATAAATGATCTGAGTGATCACGTTAGTATAATAAACCTTCAGCATAGGTTCAATCAGCTGCCCAGCTTTGTTATAATAAAACTTCATGAATGCTGCAGTGGTTTTCTGTTTCTTCAGTTTTACTGCCATCCTATGCTGTTTCCATGAGAGCAACTCATTCAATGGATGCCTAAATATCTAAATGAGTATGTTTGTTCAATAACATGTCCAGTTTTGCACCACATGTACTTAGCACCAAAAACCATAATCTTAGAGTAATTT